AGAATTGATGTTCTGTTCCTAAGAATCAAAGCTGAGTCAAGGATTTGACTGGGTAATAGAATGTAACTAAAGTGCTAAGAAAGTGCTAATAATTGTCAAGTTTGTTTAGAGGCCTTGCAACTCCTGCTTTTATTCCTTCCTGCTCTGAGTCTACCATATAAAGACAGGTGACCAGTTTCTTGAAGGATGAGAGACTCTGGAGAGAGGGGACCTAGATGACARCAACAATGATGAATGAGGTCATCATGGATCACCCCACCATGTTAAGCCAACAGATGGCTGTAGCAACGTGAATAATTTCAGGGGAGACCAATTGAAAGAACCACATAGCTGAGCCCATAGCAAGTTGCTGACATATAAATTCACAAGCAAATGAAATGGTGGTTGTACTAAGCCACTAAATTATGGGGTATTTTGTTATGCAGCAATAGCTAAGTGGGACAAACATTCATTYATCATGTATAAAGAATTCCAGCAACAAGAATAAAAAGTCTGACAGGAACATAGATAGGCAAATCAGGAAGCAAGAAATATAAATGGCTGTTGGTTTGAATTGAAGCTAGAAGTATCTTGCTCCTAAATGGGAACAATAATTTGGGATCCACAATCAGCCTGCCTGGGTCAATTCTTGGCCCTGCCCCACTATGGCTGTGTAGCATTGGGCAAGTTACTTAGATTTCTTTAGTCTTCCATCTCCTTGTCTGTGAAATGGGCTCAGTACCTCCATCCTCTGCTTATCTGTGTTTCACTTTCTGTGGTTTTAGTTATCAGTAGTCAACTGTGGTGTGAAAATGTTAATGGAAAATTCCAGAAATAATTGGTAAGTTTTAAATCACACCTGATTCTGAGTAGTGTGATGAAATTTCTCTTATTATAAAGTATATTGTTACAATTTTTCTATTTTATTACAAGTTATTGTTGTTAATCTCTTACCAGGGCCAATTTGTAAATTAAATTTAATCATATATATCTAAGTATAGGGGGAAAACCCATAGTATACATAAGATTTGGTACTATCCTAGTTTTCAGCCATCCATTGGAGGTCTTGAACATATCCACTGAGGACAAGGAGGATCAACTGTCTATAAATATTACCCTTGTGAGGAATTTTACTTGTATGAATAAGTGTTGCTTTTGATTCTCTCGCTATATGGTTCAGATAAAGCAGTGAATATAAGATATTAAACTGTTTTATTAAAGGCAATGGATGGATGAAGAGAGAAAGTGTTCAGAAAGATGGTAGTTAGGAGACTGGGAACAAAGTCATTTCATTACATTACAAAGTCAATTCATTACATTGTTATTGTAAAAATGATCAATTTGGTGTTTTATGGTACTTGTTTAAATCTTACTGGCTTTAATGAGTTTTTGTTTTACTATTAAAACTCATAATTCTAACTATGACTGAGATTTATTAGGCACCCATTGAATTTCATAAAGCAGATAACATTACTATGATTATAATTACCGTTGCCTGTGGAGTCTATATTTTGAGATGTTCTGTCTTTCAGACTGCTTTTATTACATAATATTATCTTCTCATTATTAATTGAAGATACATGAAAGAACTGATCCGTGCAGCTGATGAACATAAGACAAAGTTATTCCAAAGAGGAGGTAAGATTTCATTCAAAAGTTTAAAAAGTTGATGTTTTTAATGCATTTCATTCAGCTACTGCAGACAACTAATTACAATGAATTGTTTGATTTAAAAAATATATAACAATACAAAATTAGCATCATTATTTTCATGAACCATTAAGCGATAGAGATAGTGTGTTCAAAGCATTTTACTGCCACCCAGTAACAGAATACCTAGAGTACAGGGTTGGTACTTACATAATGTTGGAACTACCAATAAATTTGTTAATTCATGAGTGCTGAAACTACCAATAMATTTGTTCATTCATGTTTGCATGTATGTGTGTATAGTATGTATGCATTATTTATGTCTATGTAGGCATACATAGTTCATGTTTGACAAGTAACACTGTCAAGATTCATTTGAAAATGTAACTTGTTAAGATATATATTTTTTTCTTGTAGCCAGTATTATGAGTTTAGTGGGAACTTGAAATACAAGTATAGAATCAGGAATTTACTATGCAAAATATATAATAACATTTTTTGCACTATAAAATAACAAAAGCCAATTAAGGAGCTTCTAGCTCTGCAACCTTAGGGTAAGTTACCTAACTTCAGTTTTTCCATTTGAAGTGGGAATAATGATAGTACTTAATTCATGGAATTTTCTTTTAGGATTAAGGAAATTAATATGTAAAAAGTGCTAAGAACAGTGCTTACCACATAAAAGGCAGTTAACTATTATTTTTCTTATTCCTACTGCTGTTTTATTGGATATCCTTGATATGTCCAAACCACCAAATCTTAAAAAAGCTGTGTCTCTTTTTAAATGATTCCAAATATACTGCAATTTGGTAAACTCAGCATTGCACATTCCTGACTAAACTAACCTCATGTTTTAGAATGTTGTAAGCAGAGATAAAGGCAGAAATAATGTGTAAGCCTTGATTATTTTTCATGTAACGAAGAAGGATTGTAGCAGTTTAAACACTGCAGAGCCAACAAATTTAGATGGGGTCTAAGAATTGGGTTTCAGATGTCTGGTAAACAGAAAAAAATACAGCATCTGCAGTTTTGTCTTCAAGTACACCTGCTATTAGCAAACTCACTTTCAGGGCCTGAAAGCAGCAGACTAATAAATGCCTTTTGCAGATCTCCCCACTTGGCAAAACATAATCTGTCCCTTTGAATTGTAATGCTTTTGGAGAATTAGAAGGCCAAAGAAATAACTTTGGTCAGGAAGAATATAAAACTTTTACAATAACTAATTACAGAGAGAGAGAGAGAGAGAGAGAGAGAGAGAGAAGAGAAGAGAAGAGAAGAGAGAGGGAGAGAGAAATTATGAACCAACCTGTTAAAGTCATCATTCTGCTTGGATAAGTATGGGCTTTGAATGGACAGAATAACTAAACCCTATTACAAGATACATTGAAGCTGGTGGATTAGCAGCTACTTGGGACCCAAGATATTCCTAAGAGCTTTGCTCTAAGTCCCCCATTTCTTCTGCCCTCTTGGGGCTGTTCTTCAGTTAAAGTCCCTTTTGAGAATTTGATCTACTTCCCTTTTAGAGTTGCCAGTTCCACCAGCTGCTTCTCTCATTACCTTACTGTTGGGGCGGAAAAGGCCAACCCCAGGTTATTCTAATGATAGCAAACACCTCATAAAGAAATCTGCCAAATTTACTTTTCCATAGAACATCATTTTTATGGCTTTTTGTGAGTCCACGAGGAAAGAAAATATCATGTATAAAATATGACTTCCAGAAATCTTAAAGATATTAAGAATTATTCCTACATTGTTAGGCTGGTGGCTGAACCACATTCTACAGGATAGCCATATATTCTATTCCCCTACAAGAACCAGGTCTGTCTGTTGCTGTACCTGTTTACTCACAGGTATATATATAAAAAAATCTTTTTTTAGAAATGTTCCAATTTTTAATATTATTATTTTTTAGTTGTAGTTGGACACAATACCTTTATTTATTTTTATGTGGTGCATGCTAGGCGAGCGATCTACCGCTGAGCCACAACCCAGCCCAAAATGTCCCAATTTAAAAAAAAAAAAAAACTTTGTTTGGGGTGTGTACTTTTCCATGCCTGGTTTTGTATTTGTGTGCAAGGAACCCCTTGCTTTAGTCTATAATACCCCGGCAGACATAAAGCTTGGTGTAATTAATTAACGGTTGGGAATGTGTGAACGTTGGCAATTTTCTTAACCTCTCTTGTACCTCAGTTTTTGAATCTGTAAAGGGGGGATATTTACAGTACTGTGCCTCACAGGATTATAATAAAATTAAATAAATTAAATTCTGTGAAGCACTTTGAACCTGTATCACAGGCTCAAGTGACAGAATTATGTACGTGTATTCTTCTTTAACAGTAAAGTTTTAGCAACAAATTACATAAAGAATATGCTTATCTCAACATTACAGAGTTGAGTTTTAGAGGGGATGGTTTTAAGAATTTTTTTTTTTTTTTTTTTTTTTTTTAGGAGCCAGAAAAATTCCCCTGCCTGCAGAGAAAATTCCCACTCATTTTTACCAGTTCCCTAAAACAAGAGCTGACAGACCCCTAGACCCAAGAAGCAGCGATTTCTGAGGTAGGGGCAGGAAACCCCTACACAGGGAACTTTTACTCAAACATCAAAATTCACCTTGCATCTGCCTGCCACCACGTCCTCCCTAGTCGAGACTCCTCCCCTGACTTGGAGCTGAATTAGATTAACGGAATCCTATTTCTAAAAGGACCTTCACAGGGACTGGTCCCTGGAAAGAAGTCTTCACTATAAGTTTAAAATCCACAGGCAACCCCTGCACAAATCACAACAGGTGCCTTGATTTCTGCATCTTCCCCAGGTGCACCTCACCTCTGGAGAGGTCCCACAGTGGTAGAGGCACCGGAACCTCGAGGAGGAGATGGGGGGTGTCTGGCTATTCTCTGGAAATTATGTTCTGACCTTTGGCATTACTTTCTAATGGGACAGATTAGTTCTTTCCTCCAAACATAGTTTGGGATATTATTTTGTAAGGTTTCCTTGTGTATCCCATCTTTATTCCGCCTTATTTCAAGTCAAGTTATTTAGCGTCTAAAGGGTCATCAAAGACTAGCAGCCCTCCAAACCAAACACAAATTCTCCACTTCCTCCACGCACCCCAAGCCTAGCACCCCAAGTACTTTACGTGGGACCGATCAGGACCGGCGCAACCCACAGACCTCCAAGTCCGGTCCAGTCTCTAGGTCCAGACCGCCGCTTTACCTGTCTAAGCAGAATTGCCCARGCAAGACTACTGCCCAAAGAGTCACTCTTGGGTGAGGTGGAGGACCCGCCTCCTCTCATCCACCAGGGGCTAGCTCAACGCCCCGTCACCCCGGTTCTCCCCTGTCGCTCACGCCCCTCTGCGGCGGCGCACTCACCTGCAGTTGGGCCCGGCTGGCGTTGCCCGAGGCGGCRTCGGGCCCGTCGGATGCTCCTGAACCGCGCAGAACCGTGATGTGTAGAGTGAGCAGCAGCAGCCCCAGCAGCAGCAACAGCTCCGCCGCCAGTCGCACCATCCTCTTGAGGCGCGCGGCTTTAGGACCCCGCGCGGCGGGCGGCGGCGGCGGCGCCGGGAGAGGAGGAGTCGGAGCCCGGGAGCCGGACAGCGCGGCTCCCGCCTCGGCCCCCGCCGGGGCCCCGCTCCCTGGGCCCGCAGGGCTGGCGCTGGGCGCGGCGGGGCGCGAGGGCCCCGGGGAGCAGGAGCCGCCGCCGCYGCTGCCGCCGCCGCCGCCGCACCACAGCGGAGCCACCGCGGGGCCGGGGGTGTCCAAGCCAGCTGCGGAGCAAACCCTGGCTCTGCCTGGCGGTGGCGGCGGCGATGGGGACCCGGGGCTGCCTGGGACCCCGGCCGGTCCAGGGGCCACCCTGCGGGCAGGGGGCGGCGGGGTCGGCGGCGGGGCGGACGCAGCCGAGCCCCCGAGCGCACATGGGCGCCCCAGATGTGGCCGCGGCGCCGCAGCTGGAGCGGGAGAGGCCGCCAGAGGAGCGCGRGGAGTAGGAGGAGGAGGAGAAGGAGGAGGAGGAGGAGGGCTTCAGCGGCCGCCCGGAGTTACCTCCACGCTTGGCTCCCCCGCCCTTGCCGCCCGGAGCCACTCACCCGGCGAGCCACCTCCCTCACTCTGTACTCTTGAGAGCCGCCAACCTCTCTGCCCCGCACTCCAAGTCCTGGGGTGGGCTAGCTTCAGGTGGGGGCACTGGGTACACGGAGGTTGTCACTGTTTGGGGGCCGCCSGGGCGCCCCGCCGGCGCCCAAGTCCGCCTGATCGGCTGTGCCAACTGCGCGCTGCCGAGATCGCTGTGGCTGGCGAGRGCAGAGACCTCCTGTGCGCACTGAAAATCGGGGCTGCGGGTGAGTGGAGGGTGCCTAGGCTAGTTTAGAAACCTTTATTGGCAAAGTGGAGCTGGAGTTGTAGTGGTGGAGAACTGAGAGGGCGCTGGATAAAACCAGGTGTCTGTCTAGGACTGTGCGCCCCGCGGCCCGAAGCAGGCGGGGATCGGGAGGGTGACAAAGTGTCTTTCCAGAAGGGTCTTGACACTTGCTTCTGAACGCGGGGATTTCTGATCCTTCGGTGCAGCAGATCCTGCGCCCAGTARAGCCTGGGAAGGGAGGTGGATTGGGTTCACTGGGCGTGCGTCTAGTTAAGCGCGCAGGTGTCGGGGCAGGAAGCTACAGAGGMGCGTTGCCTGTGGCTTGGGCGCTCAGGACGTTGGTGGCCTTTAGAAGTGACTCTTAGCTCTGGCAGTCTGGACTCTGGGGGACTCATCCCGGGGGCGCCGAGCCGGGAGGGGATTTGGGGGCTGCCGTAACGCAGCCGCTGCTCCTGGACCACCGCCTCATGACTGCTCTGCAGCCTCGGGCTCCCGCGCGCGGGTCATGCCTTTCAAGCTTCTGCAAGCGTATGGAGGAGCTCGGGGATCGAGCWGAGGGCGCGAGATCCTCGCTTCGTATGCCGTGGCGAACTGGGTTCGTCTGKGGGCTCAGGTCTCTGCAGTGGCACCGCACGTTTCCTTTCCAGTTGGCTTTGCTCAGGCTCCCGCCTTCCCTCAGAGGCTCGGAGTGGCGGGCGCTCTCTAAGTCTGGAGCCTTTTATATTGGGTTCCCTCCGCCTCCCGCGGTTTCCTCCCTTCCTCCTCCCCTGCGCCAGCCCAGCTCTTCCCTCCCAGTGAGCCCAACCCAAGTCTGGGCATTCGCACACATCCGTTTCACAAATTGCCAAGCCCGTCTCTCATCCTAGACCCCAGTGCCACCGGGATGAATCCTTCGGATTCTCCCTTGGTGAATGAAATTAAGTAAACAAACKAAACTTTCTTGTGGGCACTCCCCACCACCCCATTTTCTACCAGTATTCTCCGCGTCCGAAAAACTGATGAATGACTTTAAATTCGACTACTTTCCGAGTTCACGTCTTTATGGAAGGCACCCTAGCCAAGTCTTACCCTAATGAAAACAAATTCTTTCGCCATTCCTAAAGTTCCTCAAGTCACCGCGGCATTTTGCAGAATTTATATAGCGGTGGTTAAGGTACCCTAAGCTGATGAGGTTTATTTGTATCCGGGAAAGGAAGCGCTAGCTGCATCTTTAAAGATGCCCGAAGCATCTTTAAAATTCTAGCCAGGCTCAGCATCTTATTGATAAATTGGCAGCTATTTATAGAGCACACAGCATCTTTTTCTTTTCGGTGGCGTTTTGTTTTTTTGTTTGGGTTGGTTGGTTTGTTTGTGGCAGAGAGAAGAGGTGTTTGGAGGGGAGTGCTCGCCTGGGGTTTTTAGGCGGCCAGGCCTGTCAGGCATTGTGATCTTCAGGATCTAAAATGCCAATAATTGTCAACTGGAGCGCTGAGGGGAGAATTTGAAACAACAAACCGTCCGTGGTTCAGATGGGAGATCAAAGAGGGAATCCCGGCAGCTTTCAAATCCCATAAGGATCCTCCTGTGTGTTTTCTAATTAGAATCACTTAAGGGGGTGGGGTGAGGTAGAATTAGCCCAAGGGATGGAATATATATAAAATTCAGATGGCATACTAGAATGCTGTAGCCAAAGAGAGTTGAAGGATGGCTCTTACCGCAATTGTGCAACATTGTGATGTGGACACTCAGGGACAAATGACTTTCCTATTGCCAGAGGCAGGCTGGTCTAAATTAGAGTCCAGGGGTTGCTGTATCCTGCCAGTTTTTTTTTTTTTCACACACAGTCCCCACATGTGAGCCTCAACTGCTTTTCCTCTCATCTAAAAGTCACATTTTTTGATCCTGAGGAAAAATGACTTAAAAAACTCTGGAAAGAAACCCTTGCAGTGAATGTAAATTCTTGTAAAGTGGTAAGTGGAGATTTGGAGATCAAAGTCTTTGTAAAATGTTGTAAAAATTGTAAATTGAATTTTGGGGACAGATGTCTTTATTAAATGTTGAACAAATGTATGAATGAATCCTATTAAAGTCCCTTCATGCTGGGCGATCCAAATTCCAGGTGAGTTTGTGTTCTAGCAAGCACACATAAGTAGTATTGATAAATACCCATGTTCTATGGCTAAACTTGCCAAAAGGCTATCAGGAGGGCTCTGTTTTTGAGGGCTTAGGGACATAGGTTTAGAATTTTTATGGAAACAGAATTGCAAATTTAATAGCCTACAAATTGAGTTTCAAGCACATTTATGAAATCTTACCAGTACATGATGAAAGTTTTAAAACTCCTGCCTCCTTTAGAATCCCCACAGCACTGTATKTATGTCTTTATTATTGATCTTACTATATATTGTGTCTCTTTGCATGTCTGTCTTCCCACCAGACCTGGRTCAGGATCATCTTTGTAGTAGAACATTCTAGAACTCTAATCCCAGTATCCAGTTTTCTTCTTCGTGGGTTCATAGCTAGAGGACATTGTCCAGTCACATTCAATACTAAGTGGTATTACAGAGCTCTGTCACTTCTAGGTCTGCCTATAAGACATCCTGCAGAAYCATTTACAAGAACTATCTTCTTTGTCCATTTAGCAAGGATGGAAGGAACCCAGGCCTGAGTCTCTGCTTAAAATAGCACCATTGGACCAGGAATATCTACATTTAACCTTGAGCAAATGAGAAATACACTTTTTTTTTTTTTGCTAAAAGACGCTGTGATTTGTGGGTGTTTGCTCAACAACTAGTATTACTGATAAGAGTACAGGGACACCTGCCTCCTCATCATATATTTTTAGAGCTGAGTCCAATGCCTTGCTTCAGAGTCATTTTAATGAATGAAATAAATCTGGTGTTCATTTAGACCCTACTTAATAAATTAGCTCACATTAGAGTTCCTACTATAGGTGTCCTGCATGAATATTGTTAACTCTTTTCTCTCATGATTATACTAGGTACTCTAGTAGATTTTGTCTTATTATCAGTCCCATTTACAATACAGGCTAACTTATTTGACTAGAACTTAGGCACATATCTTACTGTGCCTAATTYATAAATGAAAATAAGAAAAATTAACAAGGACTCAGAATGAGTCCTATTGAAGAGATTATGGTTTCATTGTAGTTATTATGGTCAGGATTTTATTGTTTTTACTTTAAGCTTTACTAAATACTAGTTGAAAGCAGCAAAGGCTAGTCTTAGTGTAATCTTTTACAAATATATATAAACATAAAGAGAAAATATAATAAATCCTCTTATACTCATAATCTAGTTAACAACAAAACTCATGACCAACCTTCTTATCTATACAGTAGTCCTACTCTTATTTGTGATTTTGGTTACTGTGTTTTCAGTCTTCCCAGGRTGTAGTGCAGTCTGAAAATATTCAGAAAATTCCAGAAATAAACATAAATTCTATATTATGTGTCATTTTACATAACATGATAAAATCTCCTGATGCCCCACTGCATCCCATTCAAATGCAAAAATTCTTTTGTCCAATGTATCTATGTTGTATATGCTACTTACTTTTAGTTACTTGGTAGCCTTCTCAGTTATCAGATCCATTGTCAAGGTATTACAGTGCTTACCTTAAGTAATCCTTACATAGTAGCCTAACATGACCTCACAATGCCTACATCATTGACCAGACTTCATCTTATCATATAGGCATTGTACCATATTACATCATCATAAAAAGAAGAGGGAGTATAGTAAAATAAGATATTTTGAGAAAGAATATTCATATAACTTTATGACAGCGTATTGTTATAATTATTCTGTTTTATGATTAGCTAATGTTGTTCATATCTTACTGTGCCTAATTTATAAATGAAACTTTATCATGGAAAAGTATGTRTAGAAAAAAGCAGTGTGTATAGGGTTTGGTACTATCAATAGTTTCAGATATCCRCTGAGGGATAAGGGGACACCCCTGAATTCTCATAAACTAACTCCCTCCTCTGATTATTTTGAAGGAAACTTATGATATAGCATTTCATATGTACATATTTAGTATACATATCAAAAAAGTAAAAGCTCAGTTAAAATTTTGGAGGTCAAAACTAGAGCCCTTTTCTGAGTGTAAGAACGATTAGTATTTAGGGATTTTGGTTGTGGCTGTTAGATGCTAACCACACTGTGTTTCCTCTTCTTCCTGCACATACCCTTAGACTACATTCCCCAGTAT